TCAAGCACATGTGTACATTTGTTACCATCATCATTCTCAAAACATTTTTTTTCTACTTGAGCCTTTGGTATCAGTTCATTTCTTCTCCCTCACGAACATCATGGAATGGCAGTTTAATAGAACAAAATGTTCTTGCATCAAGGGAGTACTTGAGTGGAGGCCCAATGTCCATCTGCAACCTTAATACTGAACCTATAAATATATGCATAGAGACCTATTTCCCCATCATATATATATATTTACATATGTATATGCCTTTATTTAGACCTCTATAAATGCCCTTTGCCTCCGAGTTCTTTCCTCTATTTCCTTTTACTTTCCTCTTGTCCCACTATCATGCTCAGCCTTCATTTGGGTTTCAGTCATTCTTCTGGGTTACATTTCCCTTGATGAAGCCCTAGCTGGCTTCCTACACCCTCCTAGCCATTAATTTTGGGTCACTTGTACCCTTGTCCCTGGGTTTGTTAACACCCACTTCCTTTCCCCGCCTCCCCTTCTCCCATATCCCCCCCGAAGAACCATCAGTCCTGTTGTTTTCTCCTCCAGATTGCTTATCCAGCCTATCTTATCTAGATAGACCTGCAGAGATAATAATATGCACAAAAAAACAAAGACAGAACAAAACAAAGCAACAAAAGAAAACAAAACAACAAAATTAATGACCAAAAAAAAAGCCTGTCAATAGTTCAAGGTGTGTTTGTTGACCTTTAGAGTGTTTTCCCGTTGAGTCTGATAGAGTGCCACACCCTGGCCCCAAAGTCTATTTTTGGTATTTACTTGGACTTCCTTGCTCTGCTCCCCTTGCTGTTCTTTTGCACACCTTTAGTGTTTTGCCTCGGTGTGGTGGGATCAGATCGTGTGATAGGATCAGATCGGGCGCAGTTCCCTCAGTGAGTCTCCAGTGTTGTCCCCCGTAGGGCTATGGGTCAATGAGAGATGTCATATCTCGTAGTGGGGCCAGCCATATGGTCCTCTCTGTGCACTGGCTGCTCTGAGTGGGGATATTGTCCTCAAGTCTTGGTGGTCCAGGATGTGCTCCACTTCCTCCCACTTCATTTGGTCTCGTGTGCTCTGATTAGACATGTCCTTCTCCCTGGGCTTTATGTAGCTTCGGTGCTATCCTCTGGAGTGAATTCTTCTGGGGGGAATGGGGGGCTGTCCAGGTAGTTGGGACTGGGGCCAGCCCCTCAGACCTCTACATTGGTTTCCTGCTTCATGCTGGCATGTGGCATTCACACCTTGGAGCACCGGGTTTAAGTCTGGTCCCTCTTTCCCTGTGGAGATATAAACTCGGCACATTTTTAATGTAGTTTTTGTGGTAAAATTAGGTGCCTCGACTTATATTTGGGTCAGCTTATACTTGAGTATATATGGTAATTCATATGCATTAATTCTTTAGTCTTCTTTATTCAGTGTTATATTTTCATAGGCAAAAAAAAACAACCCAACTTCACATGCATAATAGCTGATTGCAAATACCATGGCTTAAAAATAAAATAAGACAAAGGAGATGAAAATACCATGACTTGGGCCAGGGCCCACCTTAGTCCTCAACATGACATCCTTACTCTTTAACACAAGAGTGCTTGGGTGCCAGATTTACCCAGTGAACTACATTGTTTGATTTCTTGACTGCTGCTTCCATGGACACTGATTGTGGATCCAAGCAAGATGTGAAATCCTTAATAACTTCAATCTTTTCGGTTTGGTCCGGTTGTAAGGGGTTTGGTCTTCTTTACATGGAGTTGCAATCTATAATGAAAGCTGCAATTCTTGATCTTCAGCATGCTACGTTGTGCCATCTGCATATTGCAGGTTGTTAGTGAGCCTTCCTTTAATCCTGATGCTGCAGTCTTCTGCACACTGCCCACCTTCTCTGATGACTTGCTCAGCATACAGATTGAATAATTAAGGTGAGAGGATACAACCCTGACTTTGCTGATTTAAAAACATTCAATATTCCATTGTTCTATTCCAAGTTGTCTAGGTTTGTGTATGGGCTCTGCATGAGCATAATTTTTAACATTATCATCCACAGTTTGTTTTGATCACACTGTTGAATGCCTCTGCATAGTTAGTGAAACACAGGTAAACGTCTTCTAGTAATCTCTGGTTCATCCAAGATCCCTCTGACATCTGATTTGGGCTATCCAATTGTGTTAGCATAATTTGTTAAAAGGTTTATCCAAATATAGAAACCACTGTATTATCTTGGCACAGGGTTGAAAACCAATTGGCCATATATGTATGTACCTATTTTTGCACTGTTTTGTTCCATTGGTCTGTTTATCAGTCTTGATGCCAATAAGACACTATATTACTGTAACTTCATAATAACCACAAATTTAGGTAGCTTAAGTCATGTGGCTTTATTCTTATTCAAAATTGTTTTTGTATTTCCATAAATACATTCTATCCACATCATTTGGGGAGAATTACATCTTAATAATGTTTAATCCTCTGATCCATGAACATGTTCTTTCTCAATATGATATTTTGTAGTTTTAAATGGAAGTTCTTTTATTATGAACTAAGTTGGGCATCTTGAAATATATAAAAGGGCCATTTTAATTTCCTTTTCGGGGATTCATCTATATACCCTTTACTTCTTCCTTTTCATATTGGAATGCTGGTCTTTTTCCTAGCGATTAGTTTGTTGCAAATGCCTTTCTATTATTGTCTTTTGATATTGATGATTTTGATTTTGCTATATAGAAAATTAGGCCCTTTAGTGTTGTGAAATTTTTTCTTTGCTTTGGGGTTCTAAAATTTGTGTTTCATTTAGAAAGATTTCTTATTCTCCCCAAACATCTTTATAGTGGTTTATTCAAGTATTTTACACCTCAGATTTATCCTAATAAAAGGTATGGATTGATCTAGTTAATTTTTTCCCCACATGGTTCTCTGGTTGTCTTACCACTACTCATGATTTGAGAATCTAACTTTATCATATTTTATATTCCTGTGTATTTGAGGGACTATTTCTCAACTTCCTGCTCTTTTTTATTGATCTATTTGTGCACCAAGAACACACCAGTTTAAGGTTTTATGCTATCTGGTAGCACTAACGCCCCGAATTTGGCATTGTTGTCAATTGCTGTCAAGTTGGTTCTGACTCAGTGATCCTACTCACCCTCACGGTCACTATACTTGAGCTCACTCTCGCAGTCACTCTGTCAATACATCTTGTCAAGGCCTTCCTCTTCTCGTTGACCCTGCACAGGAGCAAGCATGCCACCTGCGGCAGGAACGGCCCCCGGATGACACACCCAGCGTGAGACGAAGTCTCCCCACACTCACCTCTCAGGGACATTCTGCCTATATTTCTTCCCAGACAGACCTGTTCATTTCTGTGGCTGTCAGTGGTATAGTCCATATTCTACACCAACACCCATTTTCAAGTGCATCAGTCTACATGCATATGAGGCGACTGAAAATATCATGGTTTTGGTAAGATCTTCAAAGTGCCATCTAGCTTCCTAACACTCTGAATTGGGTGAAGATGTGTACAGTCGACCATCAGTTGTATATTCATGCAATTCTTCAGTGAACTACCGCTTACCTCATTTCCTTCCTGTGTTTGTTTCTATCCTTCCTTAACCCTTCGTTAAAGCTGCCCTTTTGATCTTAAACAGTCAATTATTCTAAGGCGTGCGCACTTCCCTAGTATTGTTGTTCCCTTTACAAACCCGTGTGCTGTTTGAGCCATGGGGGAAACTGAGCCCAGAAGGTTGGTGAAGGGTAATGGTCTTGATGTTTCTACCAGTCTCTATCTGCCCAGTAAAGCTGGTCTTTTTATTAGGGTTTTGAGTTTTGTTCCACATTCTCCAGGACCTTCTAAGGAGATCCTTTTCAGAGGAACTGGTCATGGGAGCAGGTCACCGTCTGTTCTTCTGGTCTCGGGGTGGCCCTTCAGCCCTTCTTCTCACAGCTTAGCTCCGTCACTCATCTTATTCTGGATGGGGAGAGACCATATTTCGCTGCTTACTGCTTTTTAACACTTTGAAGATCTCTTTTACAGCAGGTTTGCCGAGTGCAGTCCATCACTTGATTTCCTGACTGCTGCTTTCTTGGTTGTTGACTGTGGAGCCAAGCAAAACAAAGTCTTTGCAACTTCACACTTTTAAAATGTTGGCGTTGCTTCTTGGGCTAGTTGTGAGTTTTGTTTTCTCGCTGTTGTGGTGTAATCCATACTGAAGGTGGAGTCTTCGATTTTCACCAGTTAGAACTTCCAGTCTTCATTGCTTTCAGCAGGGAAGACTATGCTTTCTGCAGGTCGCAGGTTGTTAGTGAGGCTTCCTCCCATCCTGGTGCTGCGTTCTTCCTATAAAACAAACAAACGCCAACGTAAATTCACTGTCATCGAGTCACTGTCGACTCCAACAGGACAGGGTGGAATTCCCCCCGTGAGATTCTGAGACTGTAACTGTACACAGGAGTAGAAAGCCCTTTTTCCTGAGAAGCAGCTGGTGGTTTGAACTGCTGATCTTGCAGTTCGTGTGTAACCACTGTGCCACCAGGGATCCCTTCTTCTTCATACAGTCCTGCTGGTGGCCTGTGCTGGCTGCCGTAACGCCTTCTGAACCTCGAGGTCTCTGTGGATTGTGTGGAGGACAGAGGAAGTCTATGAATCCAGTGAAATTCTATTTATAATTTTTGGCATATATGCATTTGTGACTCAAAAACGTTGGGGAGAGAATCCCGAGGAATGTTTGAGCCATGTATCTTCATGAGGATTACTATTAGTCATTGAATTTTGTTATGAACTGTGAGCTGGATCAAGTTGTGTTAGATGTTACTTTGGGGATGCACGAGGAATTGATGACCCGGATGGTTGGGAAGTGGGAGCTGGAGTGCTCTTTGTGCTCTCCACCCCCCACCCCCCACCCGCCCTGCAGTGGGACAAGAAGGACTTGCAAGGTGGTTGTGTGGTGAAGTGAAATCAGATGTATGTAAGGTATCCCGTACAAGTTTTCTCAATCTTTCCCCCCCTTTTACAGGGAGTCTGAAGATACAGTATTACTGGTCCTCAAGGAAATCTACCAGACCCAGGGGGTCTCCCTTGATCAGCCTTCACAGTAAAGTGGCCGGGTGTGGCTGCCGAATGTAAGTCGTTGTCATGTATCCAGCATTCCTACGGTGCCCCAAACTCGTCATCAATATGCTTTGCTGCTGCCTGGCACCAATGCTCGGGCACTGTTCATTTCTAGATGGACTCTGGGTAGCATTCAGTACTGGGGAAAGTACAGTAGCTTCTTATAGGTCTGTCCATCTTGTTAGTGATTTTACCCCATGACACCTGTTGTTTTCAGAATCTTAATAGCCTGATCACCTAAGAGTTACCATGGTCACAGTTATAATTTAAGTCTCAAACAGCCCATCCTGTGATTTTTGATGTGTCCCTGGTCTGGGGGCAGCCCCAGCCCCTCCCCCCACTGTGCCCGCATGCTGACCTCGTCCCCACTCTCTCCCCAGACAGCCGTGAAGGAGCCTTCCCCAGGAAACCCACCTGCCTGCCGCTGCAGTTTCCTCTCCTCGGCTGCATCTGTTCCCTGCATGCTGCTGGCACCTTCTCCCCGTGGGGTTTTGGAGGAGAACCTTCCTCTTGGGGAGTGGAAAAGCAGAGGGGAGACTCTATTACTGGTTTTATGTAAGCACTCACCATTCTTCATGGCTGGGGATCATTTGCAAGTGCTACACGTTGCTGCTTTATGACGACTCAGGACGGTGTAGTTTTGGATTTATTTTTGGTCAGCTAGTCATTTTTCTAGTATTCCGAAGTCATGTGAGCTACATTAGTCTCTTGTCATCTGCACTTGGAGACCAGTCTAAGTGGATGTAGGACAGGTTTTATCAGATAAGCTTTTTAAAGTCAACTTCCCTTATGTGCACTAGAGGGAGAAAGCCTGGGCTGTAGCTTTAAGAGTGCCGTTCCTGTCCAGATGACTAACAAGCGATGATTGTCAGGACTGGCTGACCTGCGTTGAGCTGCTCTAAGAGTCTGAGAGGCGGGGCTTCATTCACATCAGCCACGCACTAGACCCCTCTTGTATCTCTCACTTCAAATCGAGGTTTGATATGAAGACTGGCTTACCTGGTAGCGTCTGTTTATTTTAGAGTAGGGTTCTAGAAACTGACAAATCCAAAGTAACACAGCCTTGGCTGGGTGAAACCCTCCTGTCTCACCCACCCTCCTGTGGTATGCTTAGGGGATCAAAGCGTGCTCTAGATCTCGCACTTAGGTGCCATCACTGGCACTGCTTCCAGTTCCTTGGTTAGCGATGCCCTCATGGTGAGACAGTAGTTGCACAAGTCCCCCGCTCCATCCATTTGGGTGAAGGCAGTATTGTTTGTCCTCTTTGAAGATGTTTCGTAAACATCACAGCCTTCTGTGACCCAGAATGCTGACTTTAAAAGGCACTTGGGAGAGGTCAGGGGTTGAGCAGGTGGACATGGCTGGAGGTGGGGATGTGTAATTCCACTATTCTGAACGGAACCAGTGCCTGTCAGGTCCCAGGACTCGCTCTTCCAGGATCAGGCGCAGCTGAGTCTGCAGCATCCAGTTAGGCCTACCTGGAAGAAGGGAGGCGAATTTTGTTTTCAAGGCATTTGCTTACCACGTTGCTGTTTTCCTACTCACTGGCCAGAGCGAGTCTTCCCACACGCCCTCAGATGTCCACAGTAGAGAGTAGCATGTGGACAAACTGTGTCTTCATATCTAAATGTATCATGATCTCCAGTCAGTGCTGGCATTTACTATTCACTTACTCCATCCCCTGGGCAGTCTTTATCCCTTGCTGGAGAGGGGCAGGGTAGGTACTTAGTGTCCACCTGAAGATGGTGAAGGGGAGAGGGTGTGGTGTCCTCAGAGGCCACAAACACCTGTTGAACACCTTGAACGCCTGTTGTAGACTAATGCTGACTAAGCCATTAGGTGTCACGCCATAGAACTTATCATTTCTGTATCCTCTAAGCCCTGAGCATACAGAAAGATTGCAGAGGATCAGCAGCATTGACTGTATCACAGGGCAGACATTTCTCAAATTACTGTCTTCAAGTGTAAATCGACTCTTCAGCAGAATAGGTTCTATTCACGAGTAAACCAAAGGACAAGCAAGAGTGAGGCTGTGACCAAAAATGGACAGCATGCCCTGCAGGACTGGCGAAGCCAGTGTCTGCACTGGCCATGGCCAGGGGCAGCTAACAGGGAAAGCCTATCTCATCCAGCATCCTGTGGCATTATGGGATCATAAGCTTGATTTAAACCTTATTTAGGTGTGTGTTATTTTCACTATTCCAGTTGTATCATGTGCAATCTCTTGACCAAACCTACTTCTAAACTCTGGTACAGGATTATTTCGTAGACAGTCTCAGCTGCAGAATTAGTTACCACTTACTTCAGCAGAGATTGCTTGCATGGAGAGAATAATAGCACTGATTAGCTTTCTAATATTTTGCACTTTTGAAATGTTTGTTTTTTTATATTTAAAGCTTTAGAAAATACTGAAATAAAACTTTAAGGGCCACTTGCCTACTCTGACGTGGCTTCATCCCTCATAAGGAATATTAATGCAATAATCAATTTTTCCTCCCTTGTATATTACTAAAACAAGTTATAAAAAATATCAACAAAGGACTATTAATTCTTTTCCCTTGACTGGCCTTTTTATGGTTAAAAGTTCAGTATTTCAAAGATGTTTATAAAGCAGTCACTAGTGCAGAGCACACAGCTGAATCACTTTTGTCTGAAGAGGGAATCTAGTCTGCTTTGAATATGTTCCTGCTGCCTAAGTGCTCCTTCTGGTGCAGCCAGTCTCCAGGTTATGAGGAGGAATATGAATGAGATTCATTACCATCTTAGGAACGGGTAGCTCAGAACAGTTACATTATGTACTGGTTGAAGCCTCACTGTGCTGCAGGACATGGCATGAAGCGTTTCCAGTGACTCAGAAGCTGCGCATGCAGCAGATGAAGGTGACTGGGCTGAAGAATTGCTTGAGGGTTGTTCGCTCCATTGTTTCAAAGCGAAGGCAAATGCAGACGAGCAGTAACACAGGGCTTTAAAGATGGTGGTGCCCTTCTCAGATGGCAGGTCTGACCACACCACTTTGTGTGGCTCTCGTCCTGCCAGCAATGCACATCAGGCTCCCGAGAGGGCTCACTGCACCCCTTCCGAGTTTGTCATCCCAAGGTTTCTACCCCATTTTCCCAATTCTGATTATCGTGGGAAACCACCAAATTGTGAGACAGGACAATCACCCCGCCTATTACGTGCTTCCTTTGTTGGCCACAGGCAACGGGTTTGAAACTCTGCATTAAAGGGCAAGCAGGAGCGTCTGTAAATTGGACGGTTCTCATCTGAAGACATTGTATAAGAAAAAGCACATTCACGTATATCTGAATATCTTTATTGAAGGGAATGATGTGCTGAAAATATAAGGGGAGCAATTCCCAAGACAAGGTCACATTTAAAGTACAAAATGGCAGCTATAGGTTGTTCTGTTTGTGCCCATTGGCCCTGCTGATTACTGTTAGTCATTTAGCTCTGCCCTAACTGCGGTTGGCCAAGTGGTTCACGGAGGTGGATCTTGCGTAGGAGTGCAGGAGAGCTGTTCGTGAGCCACAGGTGAATGAGGTAGAAACAGGTGTCAGGCACACACCAGGCGCTCTCTGCTCCCAGTACTCAGGATAGACAGGACAGCACGCTGGCTTGACTGAGTCATGCCTCCCCGGAGCCTCGTTTCAGGGTTCTCTGCCTTCACGGAGCAGCCAGTCCCCTTTCTCCTGGGGAGTGGCTGGTGGATTTGCTGACCTCGAGTTTAGCAGCCAATTAACTTATCCTACCATGCCACCAGGGCTCCTGCAGTTGTGTGATAAATTTGCTTAAATGGGCTCCTTTTCCTACTTCAGGCTCACCAGAGAAGGTCAACAGCAATTGAGCTATTCTTTTTTTCCATGTGGGGCCATGGGAAACCCAAGTTGTTGCATCCAACGTCAAAATGTGGGGCTGTGTAAAAGCTGATTTTTCCAGACAACAGCATTGAAATTAGGTGTGAAAGCACTGTAGATCTGGGGAGTCCAGGCTGAACCAGCTGCATTCGCTTCTGGGAGCTCAAGAGGTCCCTCTCATCAGATTTCTCTGGGGATCCACATCCACAGGGGCAAGGCTGCGTGATCAGACTAG